CGTCATTTCCATGAGCTCCGTCAAAGTATTGCTGTCCACTTAAAAATTGGAAATCTATTTAGATATTCACGCTGCAGCCGTGACCAGGAATGAAACGGGAATGGAGGGAACGGAAGGGCGTGATGCCATCCGTCGCATCGCATTATAAACTTTGATAACAAAATTTACTTGGCAACATTTCGGCTCCTCCCACACACGCTAGCTGCCACTCCCTCCCTCCCTCTCTCTCTCTCTCTCTCTCTCTCTCGGTCGCCCTCTTTTGCTGGCTCTGTCTGTGCCATTATGCGTTATACTTTTAATAAGTTGTGACGCGCTGACGACAAAAAAGTTATCATTTATTAAAATTTTTGTCTTTCCAACGTAATTATAATAGTTTGGTAAAACATCGTGCGCGACAAGCAGCGACTGCCTGGCAACAAAAAGCAACCCCTTCTTCACCCATATTATTTGCCCGCCCACACCCCTCGCGCCACCTCTCCAGCAGCGAGCAATTGTTGCGTTTGTGGGTCGCGTTCTGCTGGCTGCTCCTGCTGGCTGCTCCTGCTTGCTGCTGCTGCTTGCTGCTGCTGCTGCTGTTGCTCCTTAGCAATTTTTGACAAGTTTCGCCTTTAATTTCCCTTTATCATGTTTCAAATTATTAAAAATTTATGCTCTGAACTGAAAGTAATTGAAAATGTTCAATAACTGCTGAGCAGGACAAAGAGTTATGGCCAGAGCTGGCCCCGGCCGGACCTCGCTCTGCACTCTCTCGACTCAGCTCCATTTCATTTTTTAGCTGTTTGATGGCGGACAAAGTTGCCGAGTGCTAACCAAAAGCTATCACCGATGCTGATGATGATGAAGATGATGTTGCTGCTGCTGCTGCTGCTGCCGCTGCTGCTGCTGCTTTTGATGATGAAGTAAAAGCTGAAGTGTATTGTAAAAGTGTAAAAGTGCAGCAGCATCGTCATCGTCAATGCCAGCGACAGCTGTTGGCTAGCATACATATAGATATATATATTTTTTTATGCAATTTTCGTTTCTTGTTGTTCATAATTATGCGCGTTATATAAATGAGTCGCAGACGTGACCGAGTCACATCGGCTCAAGACATTGATAATATTGACGGCTGACAGAGGACAAAGTTGCTGCCAATGACATCTTGATCTGGATCTTGTATGAATTTCAATTAACAGCGAAAAGCAAAAGCCAAACGTTGCGACTAGACAGATGTTGCGAGAATATATCAAATAAAAACAAGCACCTGTCGTGCTGCTCTGGGGGCTTAGAGCCAATCAAACATGCCACACGGCGAGCGACTCTGCGGACAGCTCAATAACAAAAGTAAACAAATTAAAATAGACAACAAATGGAAAAAGCGACAACCGCAAGAGCCCCAAAAGCCTGGCAACAACAACACCGAAAACTTTTTGCCATGAAACGGCAAAAGTTCACCAGATGCTGTGCGGGGGTTACAGGTGTTTCTCTGCCGCGTGGGCAGAAGGGGGGTGGGGGCTGTCGGGTGGCAAACGTACGATTCGCACGCAGTTTAGCAGTTGCCGGCGATGCGTAAGTCCATAAAATCCTCACTAATCTCACAGGACGCGCTTCGACAAAACGCCAAGCACTTTTTGTCAAATCATCCAAACACCTGATGTCTTGCTCGGACCTAAGCGCCGAAAGGTAAGCGATCTGTGTGTGTGTGTGTGTGTGTCTGTGTGTGGGCGGTAGTAAAATGTTTTGTTATTATGCACAGACAGATGGGCCTAGGCCCAGGCCGATGTCGAGCGGGTTCATAAAAGCGCTTTGTCACCAAGCAATTTCCGCACTGAAATAAACGAGACGAGCGGAAGTCTGCTTACCGCTGCAGCAGCCAGAGCCGCACCAGCCGAGACTGAAGAAAAAAATAAAACGCACCCAATAATAGATTTTTAGCGCAATTGCTGAAATGGGCACTCAGCGTGGCTGACACGCCCCGTGGCAAGTGTGGCAGCAAAAACAGGGGCTACACAAGAAGTAAATAAGTCGAAAGAAAAACAATTAAGGCAGATAATAATAATATGAGAAGCCAGAACAGGAGCACCAACAGCAAGAAGAAAATAGAGGAAAAAAAAATTAAGAAAATATAAAAAAAAACTTTCACTTTGCCTCATTTTCACATGGAAAACTTTGCATTTAACTTTTGGCGGTGGCGCTACATACATTTCCTTATCATTTACCGCATATTCACGGGGGATTCATGGCCGAATAGTTGTTTGCACTAGATAAATGTTGAGTTGGTGTTTTTTAAAGATAAGAAAGCGGAGCTTGTTTAAACGAGAAGAGAGAAATGGATATAGGCTAGATCAGATATGAAATAGAAACATTCTATTCAGACTATGGACAAGTAAGTTTGACAGCCATGTCTAGACATATAACTATTAACGTCTTTTTAGAAATGTTTAAAAAGTTATTTAAAATTGCTATTAGATATAGATAAATATGAATATTTATATTTATAGCAACGAAAACTCTTTGTTATAGATATATATACTTACATATGTATGTAAGAAAAATATATTATGATAAATACATATTACATATTGCATATATTCATTTCATATGCATATATTCATTAATATTTTTGTATATATCATCTCATTTCATTTAATTAATGCTCACATTACGCATACGCCAAGTGGCCAGAGAGCACAATACGGTCTGGGCCACTGGGTCTGGGACGACCATGAAGTGTTTTGACGGCTGCTAATTTATAAAAGCACTTGCCAGTTGAGGTGCTCTAAACCCAAGTTCACTTAAGCATCTGCTATCCGCACCATTTAATACTATTGGGTATAAACTGTTTTCAGTAAAAGCTGTTCATATCTGGTTATTATAAAACTAGTACTAAATGAACATCAACACGAATATTAAAGAATTAATTTAAAGTTTTAAGAGCTGAAAATGTCAACCATTAATCTAAGAAAATCGCTGCAAAAATCTATAACAAAAGTTAACATCCATTATGTCTTATCCCTCTAACATTCATTCAGTTATCTTTTTATTTTCTCAGGCAGCAATTTCATATGTAGATAATAAAAATATAATAAAATTAAAAAAATATTTAAAGTCAACTTCCTAATTTAAACGCATTTATTGTGCATGAATTGGCAGAGCAGACTCGCCCAGTGCTCTGTAAAAATTAATTTTTATTTTTACGCCCGGAACGTAATACGTCGACGGTATAAAGTTTTTCTCGCAAGCAAAAAGCTGGCAAGTGAAAAACCTTGCTGGCCACAAGACCAAGCCAAGGCCCACGCATAATAAACCCTCGCACCGCCCACTCACGCCCACCATTGCAGACTTCTTGAGGCATTTGAAGCATTTAAAGCAGTGCCTAATTGGTTGAATTTCACGCTTCCGCCATTCTCAGCCTTAATCGAAATTTAATGTAGACGAAACACGTGCCTCAAGTGCAACGATAAAAAATGCATGTCAAGTGGCATGACAGGTGGCATGATCGGTAACTGATTTGCTAATAAGCCGCCTGCACACAATTCAGGCTAAAAACAAGCTGAAGAAATTGTAGAAATACGTGTGAATACAAAATAGAAAACTTCTACATTTTCTGCCCTTGCTTTAGCTGTTGCTGTTGCTGTTGTTGCTGTAGCCGTTGAGTGGCAAAAACTTTCACCCGCCTTGGCGGGCTGGGCTTGTCAGACTATAGTAAAAAGCATTTATTACGCAAGAAAGTCTATTCAATTATTCAGGCGCTGCATTCGCGGGCAGCCCCCGCTCCCGCCCATCCCTTCAGCCAGCAATGTCCTGCCCCGGCGACACGCTAAATAATTTACAATTTCCCAGGAAGCTGCAGCAGCAGCAGCAACAGCAACAATAGCATTTTAAGAAAATGCATGTACTTTTTGTGCCAATTGGCATAGTCGTAGAGAGTTGGGTTGAAGCAGGGGGCAGGGGCAAGACGGTGCCTAAGAAGGCAGCCAGCTGACGTGCGTCCGAGTTGCGCGACATTCGAGCCTTTGTTTTGGCCAAATGGCAAAGTTTTATTTCAGTGCCTGCACTCAAATGAAAAATAAATATGACAGCAAACGCGCCACGAACAAAAGACACTTGCATATTAAATGATCTTAAATAGCGAAGACTGGAGACAATGCTGCCGCTGCTGCTGCTGCTGCTGCGTCTGTTGCTGCTGTTGCAGTTGCAGCTACCCTCAATCCCCTCCTTTGCAACTGCGTCGCATTAGGTTTATAAATTAGAAATGATGGCGTCCCAAAGCGTCGGCCATAAAAACGAAGCTGCGTAGCATCATTCGCCCAAGAAGAGGAGCTTACAGTGTGGTTGTGCAACCAGGGGGGGAGTGGAGGAGCAGCGGATGCTGAGCTTAAGTTATGCAAATGCGCTTATGCGCGGCGACAAAAGCCGTGACAGGCAAACGCTCAAAGCTCTGCCAATTGCAATGATTATGAAACGTCGTTGCGATCTAATTGGTTTAATTATGATATCATAAATTAATCCCATTCTCACATTACATTATGCATGGCATCTGTTTCACAATTTCACGATTGCTGGCATGGCTTAAGACATAAGCTACTTTAACCTGAAATTGTTTAATGCAATTATGCAGCGATCCCGAACATTATAATACCACACATTTAACAGCCATCCTGTGTGTGAGTAGGGTGTAGGTATCTGTGCGTATGTGTGTGTGTGTGTTTGTGTGTGTGTGTGCATTTGTGTGGGAGTGTGAGAAGCCAAGTCAAACCACAAGCAAATTCTGCGGTCGTTAGCTATTCACAAATTAACCAACAAATTATAGAAACCCAAACCAAATGGCTCGAAGCCTTCCAATGGCAATTGGGCAGCCCATACTTATGTATTTGCTTTACATATACATATATGTATATGTGTGTGTGTCCTGCATGTTTATGTTTCTCAATTAATATGACCGCTTGATGTTTACATTTGCGAATTGAATTCGGTAGGTGAATTTGCCAAGGCCCAGTAATACTTGTATCAATTAAGTTGGCGTGCCTTGAGCACTCAAAATCTAATATTTATACTATGAAATAAAAAATCAAACTTGAAATAACAATTTTGCAGAATTATATAATAATTTAACAGAGATGAGAAGTTTATTTGTGATTTGTGATTGTAAATAT